GCCCCAGCCTCCTACCCCTGCCCGCCGCGGCTCCAGCGGTCGCCGTCCTGCGCCGCGGGGGGCAGGGACGCCATCTTCTTCCCCGGCGCTGTCCCGCTCCCGCCTGCTGAGAGCGAGGCCTCCCTCCCCCCTCAGGGCCGGGGCTCGGACCCGCTGCAGGGATCTGTGGAGGCGTTTAGGTCTGTACCGTCAGCCCCTTCGCCCTCTCCCTGCCCGCCAGCCTGCGGCAGCTCGGACCCCTCCTCTCCCCAGGCCTGACCTGGCCCCATAGCTGTCACCTCGTGAAAAAACGGATAAGATCTTGAGATAGCCTGTCGTGGTCCTTCCTACCATTCAAGCATAGTAGGAAGGATGGTTTGTGAAATAGATTTGCCAAGAATTTTATCTTAAGCCTCCACTTTCCATTGCAAATGCCTACACATACATCTGTACATTGCACCACAGCGTCCTCATGGCAGAGTTGGTCAAAGTGCCCACAGAGTGTTGGTCAAAGTCCCCAAATTCATCTTCCCCCTCTGTCCAGGAAAATAAAAGTCAGGTTCTTGTCTTCCTTGATCTGAATATGAGAATTACACATCCTTTACCAACTTATTACTTCATATCCAAACCTCTGAATGTCAGATGGTGGCATTACCCGCTATGTGGAGAAGAACCTAGGTCGGGTCACCCCGACAAATCACTGGTCACCTCTGACACTCTGAAACTCTTTTTCAGATCAGTTTCCGCTGCTAACAACAAAGAGGGTATTCTGGAAAGGAGTGCTGGAGGAGCTGCTGTGGTTCATCAAGGTTCGGTATTTGGATGTCTCTGGGCGGTGTGCCTGAGAGTGGTATCAACAGAATGAACTAGTGTGGAATGGATTAAGGAATTTGGGGTAACTGCAGATGCTTCTGTTCGTACGACAGAACAGAAGAAGTGCAACCACCAAGTATTTTGACTACACGCGGAAGGCCATTATCTTCAAGACCTTCTGTGCATTTTAGTGGAGACTATTGCATTGTTACCAATCAGAAGAGTTCTTCTGTTTCTTTCTAAGGAAAATAGTCTGAAATAGTGAGGACTTTTGACAATTTGATATAACTGCCCCACAGTTATAAAGCCTAGTACAGTCTCTTTTATTAGTGTTTGAATAAAAAATAATCTATGAAGTAGATTGTGGGCAATTTAATGATCTGCTTTTTAATATTGAGATAGCTTTTATTGACTTGAACAGAAACAAGCAGTGCGGAACGACAGGTGAAATAAGACTGATGTAAACACTAGGCTTCTTAGTAGCAAAAACCTGAGATCTAATAAAGCTAATAGCTGTAGTTAGGGTATTAAAATTCAACTGTGGATAATACGTTATGATGCAAGTGTTCCTTTATATGTTGTGACATTGTGCAGGTATGGGAAATTCTGCCTAATGATTAGCTAGATAGCAGGACTCAAATACACTTCATTTTTTTAAAGTATCTTTTTTCAAATATGAAAGACTAGACATTCCCCAAAACAGAACACTTTCTATGCTGGATTTTTGAGTGTGCTGATTTGGACATGTTGCAGAATTCAGTGAGATCTCTCTGGGTCATTTTGTCATATTTGTCTTTTTTGTCATTTTAACAAAAGGGTTTTTAAGACCTTAAGCTCATTATAGGTGTCTTGGCAAAGACAATGCCTAGGCTGTAAATTTTTTGTTTGTCTACTTTTATCTGTCTGTAAAGTAAAATCTTGTTCTCTGCAAATGTGCATATGAAATGATACACCACAGTTGACCTTGAGACTGTACTGTTTGTGCATTCACAAAGTTAGAAGAATCCTGAGTTAAACAACAGCAGCATGGCACTTCAAACTTCATCCTAGTATGTTGCTCATAAGTTTTATTCTGTCCATGTGCAAGAACATCATCCGGTACATTAATCAGACTGTTCATCCTTTATAAGTGGAGAAATACTGTAGACTAGCAAAGCTTAATACAGCTGTTTCAAATCATGTCCTCTGTGTTGGGATTAGGATGTAGATTTCTTACTGTCTGTGTTTTGTAGGGTTCTACAAATGCCAAAGAGCTCTCTGCAAAGGGTGTGAAGATTTGGGATGCTAATGGATCACGTGACTTCCTGGATAAGCAGGGTTTCAGCACCAGAGAGGAGGGGGATTTGGGACCAGTTTATGGTTTCCAGTGGAGGCACTTTGGAGCAGAATACAAAGATATGCACACAGGTAATCACATACAAATACAATCTTGATTGCTTAGTGAGATGACTATGACACTTCACTTCCAGAATACCAGTGCAGGGTCCTGATTTCCATGATATACAATTGTGCTGACAAGAACTGATGTTAGCGCACTACATTCGTGGGAGACTGTGGAAGAGAAAGATTTTTCCATTCTGCAGCTGGAACAAAGTAGGATGTATCCATAGCTGATGATGCTGTGGACAGAATAGCTGTAACAAGTTATGATGTGGTGCAGTACCTGTTGGTATTATTTCCGGTGGAACTGGTTCATTAAACTTACTCTGAAGTGTCTTGATGGCTCTTTTCTAAGTCACTGAAGGAGAGGATGTACAAAACATTCAGAGGACTGCCATTAAAGAAAAGAGTCATAAAAGATTGTCCCTATCTGGTTGGTGTGATTTTTAATTCAGAGTAACAACATGGTTAATTACATTTTTTCCTTTTGTTTTTTTGTCAATACAGTCTCAAAGTTCACATTAGTTACAGTTATTAGACTTAGTATTGGCATGTTGACCGCTGGCAGAATACAGTTTTATGCTAACACAAATGATGCAAATTGTGAACTGACACATCTAAAAACTTGCTAAAATGTTTCAGCACTCCTGACCTTAAAAGATCAGAGGCATAACATAGCTTGGAAAAAATGAACAAGATAAATTCCCATAGGTTTCATTACTAATAGATTTCCTTAAAATGCATTACTAATGGATAGGTAATTAGCTTCAGGAACTAACATAACCATTTGAAAAGGCTTCTGGCACAGTATTGCTGGCAGAAGAATTCCCTGAGATGCTAATGATATATTACTACCTTGTTTGCCAGCTTGGGTCTCCCTGTAACCACGATTTGGTGTTGCTTTGCAATAAGAGTTATTAGAAAAAATTAAGTTACTAGCCATGCTGATTCACTGGCATGAGTCAGAACAGTGAGTAACAACTAATGACTCTTTTATTCTGGAATCCATTTTAATGTTCAGTTAATTCCAGTGAATTTCTTATATAACTGGTATTAAGCCTAAAAATCAACCTGCGAGTGTCATTGGGTGAAATATAGTATCCTGTGCTATACATTATTAAAATTGCCTTCTGGCACTAAATGCTATGGAAATTTAGTTTTCTTACATGACCTTGTGAGTGCTAGTTGGATGCGTTTATTCATCTGTCAAAAACTTTCTCCTTTTGACCGTGCAAAGAATGCCGGCACCCCATGTTACCGGTCTGAGCATAATATTTTTTTTTTTTTTTTTTTTTTTTTTGGGAGGAAGACTGTAGCATGAAAGTTTAACATCTAGAAAGGCATCTTAATCCAGAAATGCAATGAGCAAATTAGTTTACATACCATGAATGACTAGGTGGTAATATCTTGCCCATTCCAGTACAGCTTTTGTCCTATTTAGGTAACAAGTCATCGTGAATGATAAAGTAACATGCTTTGTCCAGCTAATTTTTTTGTATTGCAACTTTTGTTTCCTGGGATGTCGTGTTTATGCAGGCTTCTTCTTTGGTCTTAAAAAATGTCTAGTTGTTGAGCTTGGAATAAAGTGTTCTAAACAGGAATGGTCCTATTTCAGTGGTTGCTAAAGGTACTCAAAGCACGCAAAAGAGATGGGAGGACATACGAAAATACCATCATGAGAATTTCACAAGCCTTAGAGCACCTTAAGGAAGACCAAGAATAGCCAACACTTGGAGGGTGCCAACTTATAAATTTAATCACTTTCAAAGTTACAATAAAATCTTCAGAGGATGTCATTTGGGTATCACTTTTCAGTGGGATGTGGGCTGGGCTTTAAAAAAATACCATTACTTGATCTGTCTGGCTTGGATCTTACATGGTATCTTTCTTCAGATTACTCGAACCAAGGAGTTGATCAGTTGCAAAAAGTGATTGAAATGATCAAAACCAATCCAGATGACAGAAGAATCATTATGTGTGCTTGGAATCCCAAAGGTATTGAACAGCAGACTTTAAGTAAATGCAGCTGCATATTATCTTGCTGTATGCTAAACTGTGTTCTCATCCTGTGTCAACAGTCAGTTCCATTTGGTGTCCTTGCTTATTCTTCATAAAACTACCAGGAATGCAGTCAAAATGGCCAGGGGTTATAAGCTTGGTTCTCTTTCTACTTAATTCTCATGTTCAGATCTCAAAAATTTTGAGCCGTTACTTCAAAGTTTTTCTCTCCAGGTTAAAGTGAGGGATATACCTGGCTACCAGTGTCTTTGACACAGAGTCTCTGTTCAAAGACAGCAATTCTTATTTTAAAAAGGTTAAAAAAACAAAACCAAAAAAGGGTATACCAAAGCAGTGTGTCTGCTTTTTAGCCATATAATAAATTGTAAACTTAACAAAAACCTTAAAACTAGAGAACAAAAATATTATTTGTGTTGTAATCATCTCCTTGAACATAGGTTGTCTAGATATCCATTCAGTCTGTAGGGCTACTTCTAAATAAGAGCTAGTGCCAGAGAATGTTTTGCTTCAGCAGCAGTAGATCTGTGCACAAAAAAAAAAAATCACCCAGCATTTTCCACTCATGTCTCTGAAAGGGGATGCCACATGCTGTTGCTGTTATTTTTAAGGTTAAACATTCTCAGATATCAGGAGATACTTGGTTAAAGTTTTCCCTACCAAGCTGTAATTGCACTATCTGCACTTTTAAGTGTAGATAAACACTCAAAAGATCTTTTGTTTTCTGATTATTTTTTTATTGATCATTACTTTTGTATCTCAAGAAGCAGTAAAGGCATGTTGCAATGGGAAGAGAGTAAGATGAAGCAGTTGGAAGTCGCTTTAGGGTACATGCTTAATTTTACTCTTATTATCTTCCTTTAGGGAAATCAACTGTCTCACCGAGGTGAGTAAAACTGAACTCTTGTGCAGCATTATGGCATAAATCTGTTCTGTGGAATACGTGTTTATGACTTTTCTGGTCACACAACCCAGGAGACAGCTTGTCATGACACAGACTTAATTGCTTAGGCAGCAGGTGCTTTTAAACAAGAGAAAAAGCAACAGAATGATAGTGCAGTTGGATATTTGCTCTTGACTGTGTCTCATTAAATGCTTGTTCAGGTTTTGCATCTTCTACATTTATAACACACTAATGCTGTTACGATTTTTTTTCCCCCCTCCTTCCTGTACTGCAATTCCTAGATATTTCTCTGATGGCTTTGCCTCCATGCCATGCCCTTTGCCAGTTCTATGTTCTAAATGGTGAACTGTCTTGCCAACTCTATCAGAGGTCTGGAGATATGGGACTAGGAGTGCCTTTCAATATTGCCAGCTATTCACTGCTCACATACATGATTGCCCATGTCACAGGGCTAAAGGTAGGCTATTTAATCATTTTACTTAATCTTGTCTGAGAAGTGAGAGACTAAAAGATAAGACTCTTCATGTCATGTCCAAGAAAAACTGGAATGAACATACTGCTCAAAATCTTGCTGAAATACGTGTAAGAAAGGGCCGCGTGAATTTCATGTGAATTGTCTCTGGTCTCTGTGGGCAGTTAGGATCAGCAATGTAAGAATTCTTAAATTCACATCAAACAGACAGAAGATACTCCAGGTCTTTTTAAATGAACGTGTCAAAACTGACCTGTTCTGCTAGTCTACTTCTTAGAAATCTGAACTGAGCATTTGTCCTTATGGGATAATAACATACAAGTGATTAAGTTTTGTAGCCTGCGTTTTTTATTGGAAGCAAACAGTAGCTCAGCAGTTGCTGTCAAGGTTCCAATCTGGATATTCTGCCCACTTAACTTCCAGCTATAATTTCACCTGGGTATTTTTTTCATTTCCTACTGTAGATGATTATGTAGAGTGGTAGTATGTGCTCAGATAGCTACTGCCCTGACTCCAGAGCTGTCTTTTGTAATTTGGCAGAGTAATTTAGATGCACCACAATCTTGTACGAGTGAAACCCCCTTTCCTTCAGAGCATGTGAAAAATTATACTAGCAAGGCCGTTTGGGCCTGATCCCCCTGCTACCAGCACCATGAAGGGGAACTTAAAATAGGGAAGTAGGGAAGAATCAGACTTCACAGGTATTGCAGACATACTTAAGAAATTAGGCCAAGGTACTAGAAAAAGTGAAGTTTAACATTATGTCCATAAAGCAGCTGTTGCTGCTCAGCCACTTCCTCTCACAGCTTTGGTGGTTTTTAGCGTAATATATCCGAGGGCTAATCTACATTGTTCAGAGGCCAGTAAAATAGCTGATAAAACTTACCCAAGTTAAATTAGATTGTTCAGGGGCTGCTAAGTCACAGAACTTGCAAGCTTGCACAACCCATCTGGACGCTTGATAAGTGCTTTGGGGTTTAGGCTGTGACTGACACCTCCACTGCCACAAACTACATTGTTTAGTAGTGGCTGAGGCAACTAGTTTGAAACCAGCTTTGGCAAGTCCTACTTATTAGAAGTGGAGTGGAAAAGCTGGACGTCACTGCCCATTCTGTTTCCATCTTGGTGAGCAGATCAGTAGCGCTCCATTCAGTTACCGAAGCAATTATCCTAGCAGGATTTCAAAGATAAATTTTTTGGTAAGCTGGTGGAAATTTCATTATATTTTTCATTAATTATGCACTAGTCTGGGAAGATAGTGTCCTTCAAAGCTTGCAAGGATGTCTTGATAATCCAATCCAGTACAGAAGCTGCAATTCCACACTAGATGTAAGATGCTAAGAATCAATACTGTAAGCATTATAATGTTTTGCTTTCTTAAAACCTGACTATTTGAAAACCACATGTATTCTCCTTTCTCTTCAGCCTGGAGAGTTCATACACACACTAGGAGATGCTCACGTATATCTGAATCATGTGGAACCTCTAAAAGTTCAAGTAAGTACTTATTCTCTATTCTTGTATCCTTTTATCTTCCACAATGCTTATGCAATACAACGTCATCTTGGTATTATAAATATCCTTTTGCAAATATTAATTTGTGTGGCTTTTCTTCTCATTTCTACCCTAATAATTGTAGTACCTTAACCCCTGTTCAACTCAGGTCACAAACAGAAATACAATACAAACATGATTGAAACGTACATCAGTGTACTATTCTAGAACCAAGTTAGAGATCCAGAATCTGTACCCCTACTTTTGACTTCATCATTCCAAAACCTTAGAAAACCATTCCGCCTAATACAGATAAACACAAAATAAAATGTCTTTGTAGTATATCAGAAAAGGATAACTTACCAATTCACAGAGTTAATCAGTATTACTATTTGGCTGAATAAGGCTATATTTTCTTCAGGAAGTAATTTGTTGCAGTAGGAGCAAATCAGAATTTTATTTGATTAGACTTAGCTCGGACTGAATGTCCTCACCATTCATATGGTTCAAAACTATCCAGAGAACTAGTTATTGGTTTGGACCTTAATGTTCCTGTGAGAAACTGCAGCACATTTGATGCACATCTGGGTCAGAATTTCCAATATAGTTTCCTCTGGAAGGAATCTAATCTGTAACCACCGGAATTGCTCTGCAAACTGAAAATGCTTGCAGAGCATTTGGATGATCAGGGAATCCACTTTAAAATTATGCTACTGCTCCCTATCAAAATACTAAAGTAGATTCCACCTAACTGTATTACAATTTTCTTTTCTTTTTTTGACTATAAGTCTTCTTGGGGAGGAGGGAAAATCCTACACATAGTGTAACCTGAATTGAGGTTAATGGGATCTAATTTATAACACAAAATCTCTGCCTTCAAGTATCAGCTTTATGCAATAAACTTGCTTTTATTTCAGCTTCAGAGGGAGCCGAGACCTTTCCCCAAACTCAGAATTCTTCGTAAAGTCGAAGACATCAGTGACTTTAAGGCGGAAGACTTTCAGATTGAGGATTATAATCCTCATCCACCTATTAAAATGGAGATGGCTGTTTAATGATATAAACCAGCTTCTGTTAATGTGGAAATGTACCTAAGCTACTTAGCTTTTCTGTACTTAAAGTTACGGGGTTTTTATGTACTTCAAAAGATAAATACTTTCTTACTGAAAAAGAAGCAGGTACTAGTAGACCAATACTGCCTTCAGTACTAAACTGTAGTCGTACAGAATGGGTCATTATTTATTCCTGCTGTACTATGCAGGTGCTAACCCAGTTTTAAGTTGTTAGTGAGAGAGTTTCCTACAGGTTGTTTCAGTTACCAGTGGCCACTGCTGTTACCATTCAGTTGCTATGTGTGAGTAACACTTGCTTACATGCTTTATTTAGTACTGAAAATAAGAACTTTTATGTATGATAGAGGATTCCTTTAAGGTTGTAGAAGTCTTTAAGTATGTTCTGAGAAGTGTGAGTTTATAAAGCTTTTTTAAAAAAAATCTTCTGGAAGGGATGATGCGTATTTAATTTTAGTATGTTTGTTTATATTTAGTAGTAAATAAGAGTGGGAAAGCAAAGGTAAATTCTGTTTTACTTTAGCATCTTGGAGGGTGAGATCCAGCAAGGAAAAACAAACTCAAACTTCCCATGGTCTTCATAGATGAACCAGCAGGAAGACAAAAGATCTTAATGAAGCCTTGTCTGAAATGCAATCTCTGTATAACATCTCTGTATCAGCAATTTTTTTATTCCCCAACCCTACAAGAATGATGTATTTGATACAAATCAAACAGAGCTGTAGTTAAACACAGGTTACCAGGTAGTATTAGTAATAATCTGTCTGTCATCATTTAAAACCAGATCCCACAAACATATGGACTGATTTTGCAGCCTGGAGCAGTAAAAGTTAGAGATAGTAGTATTTGTAGGATTGGAGCTTATTAATTAAATCTTAGCAGAATTCAGCTTTCATCTCTCCTTATCCTTGCAACTTCTGCAGTAACTTCAGTCCTTACAAAATTCCTCTTCAGGAATTCAGTTGTGAATAGATCTGTGGTTAATATTCAGACATAGCATATTCAATACATATTTGAACACATAGAGAAATGCATAGTAATTTTCTGATTCATTTTTAAAGTCAGTAAACTGGTAAATATCATTGTAAAATTGTACAATTTGAGATAATTCTAAGAATTTAATAAACAGTGTGCTTTGATTCCCATCATTCAGGGGCCTGCATAAGGGGACCATTGCATCTTTCTTAAAACGAGCTGATCATAACTTTCAAAAGCATATTTTGCATCAAAATTATTTGCAAATCTCATTATACTGATCTTCATTATACTGATCACTGATCTGCAGACTAAATTTTTTGTAGTGCCAGGTCATGTGCTCAAAAAATAAGTTGTTGTTCTCTTTTCCCGACATTTAGCCCAACACAAAAAAATTGCAGAAAAAGGATATCATTACCTTTTGTCAGTACATCAAATGTAAATAGGTCACTGCTTATTAGAAACATTCTCCTCAGTATCTACTGTAGTCCATCTTTCTTGAACAGAGATGATTAGACTATGTGCTATTTCAGCTGAGATCATATGAGAAACTTTATACATGGAAGGATCAAACCTATCTTTTTCTGAGGCTGCATTAAATGGACACTCCGTAGCCAACCTGTAGTTAAACACACTTGAGTCTTACCTTCTTTCAAATTACTGAACTCACAGATAGTAGCAGTATTCTTGTTACTAGACCTGAAAGCCACATCACATTCTCCTTCTAATAAATTTCATCTCAGCTCTACTAGTCTTGTATTTTAAAGTCACCTAGTTTGGATATTCCAGGTGTCATCTGCATTAATGATACCTCCCAGCTGTAGCTTGTCAGCAACTTCTTACCATGTGCATACTTTTATAAATTAAAGGTTCTTGAGTGTACTTACAGTCCTCTAAAGTACAAGAAAACAGGTTAGGTTGCAAATTCACTTAACATTTTTGCCTACACTTAGCAAGTTAAGTTCCTTTTGCTGGAAACCACTTTATGTAACACGTCGGGTAAAGTGGAATCTGCAGGGCATTTTAGCAAGTGTAGCCAGAGAGGATGTGAAATGAAATGTTGCCCTCAGGGCTTGACTAGTGGGAATTAGCAATCTCCGTAGAAGTTAACCGGGGCAGGAATACCCAGCCAAGAGAAGAATTTAGAATGGGAATCATTTACTTCCTTTCATAAATTAAAGAGGAGTCAGTCCAATTGGAAGGAAAATTTTAAAAGAACTTTTTAAGTATTACCTTTATGAAACATGACAAATGGTCTATTCTTACATAGGTATATGGACATACATGGCATGCTTAAACAGACCAACATGTATAGCTCTGGAAGAGCTACTGCTTTTCAGTATAGGAATTAACTACAACTTCACTGTCCCCTTTATCAGCACAATTTACTACCAATAGCCGTTGTTGAAATGAAGCTTGTACCTCGAAGTCCAAGAAGGCTTATGCTGCTCAAAAGATCAGAAAGATGTAAAAAGCAGACTTTACACAGAAGACTTTAATGTGAATAAAAGTGAAAATACATATATTTTAAATCAATAGGTATGAGACTTCTATGATTTCAAGCAAAAAATACGAATATTCAGAGAATTTGACTCCATAGACTTAAACAGGAGGTACTCAAGGAATTTTGATTTGCAGAATATGAAGACTGTTCACTGCTGCAAAGATGACTAGCATGACTGCAGGCTATATTCAGAGCAGTATTTTAGACAAAACACGGGACATTGTTGGATCCTTTTGGGAAGCTATGAAAGGAACCCATAGGCCTACTGAGAGAAGGGGGCGTTCTTGGACTTACTTCCTGATCAATAAGCTGTCCCAGCAGATCCCTGTCCCTTGCACTCCCCAGCTGATGACTTAAGAGCTGTACAGGTGGCATTAGAAGTCAGTTCCTTCCCAGCTCTGCGTATCCATAGCATTTCTGAGTCCTTGCCATTTGCCCTGCTGACTGCTACACTCATTCTGCCTCACAATTTGGCTCTGAAGAGTTTCCTCTCTTCTGTCATTCCTCCTCTGAACGCATCCTTTTCCCCACTTTCCAAGGGGAATTCAATCAACTTGGAGATAGCAAAGAAATTTCTTACCACTTTGCTCAAATACCAACTCCCTCTATGTTCTACCTTCTTAGACAAGCTTTTGTAACCCACATTATTTCTGACGTGTTACAATACATTGCAAAATTGGCCCTACTGCAATACCAGAAAAAATATTACTTATCTGGTCATGATAGATGAGGGGTCAGAAAAGAAGGAACTGTTTCTGAATTTTGAGACAAACACCTACCTGATCAGCCATCAAAATCAATAGTCTGTTAATTAGTCTGACTTGGTGAGTTTGCCACCATAGTGACTGGCATCTGTGAAGTGTCTGAATATGGAGTACAGCCCAGGTTTCAAGTACCTTTATCAAAACCACAAACGGTTCACTTTCACCTGCTTGAAGTTTAATCCACACTTCTAACTTCCCTTTGTAGCCCACAGGCAGGTGGCCTTGTAGGGTAACAAGACAAATGCATGCTGTGACCACCATGTAGCAACATCTTTTTTAAGGGGAAAAAAAAAAAGAACGAGCACCATAGTCAATTGCTGCTGGAGTATTTTGTATAACTAACCTGCTTTCAAGGCTTTCAGATACTGGAATATAATCAAATATTATCAAGTGCGGGACTAATTCACAGAGACCCCCAAGTCCATACTAGAGAAAGACAGTGCCCAATACCAAGATACCAAAAGCCCTTTGGTGCAGCCCTACAGCATGATGTGAAACAACGAAAATTACAGCAGTGCATGCAAGCTTATGCTCAGAAATCACAAGTATGACAGCTGAAGAAGCTAATCAGACTAGCCTGGAGGCTGGGGAGAGAAAGATTTTCTCATTGCTGCTGCATTTTGCAGAGCCTTACTCTGGAATTTTTGGCCATCAGCAGCACAGACAAAGTTTTCATTCACACTTCCCAGCCTGCAGCTGTCAATTTGGAGATAACTCAAGGCCTTAGCTTGTAGAAGCTGTTTAAATATCACTCTGTTGTGGCAGTGTAAGGGAAAAACTAAAAAGTTAAGACCTGAAGTCTTCCAGATTAACATATTACAAGAGCTGCTGGCAACTCATATAAAAACATTTGTATAGTGTCCCTCCTGTGTGTCTCAATAAATCTGAATTATTTTAATGACTCCATTTAAATGAGAGATCACATGAGAATTTGGATCAAGTGAAGTTCAAGGATGTTGCCAATATTAAAAATAATCAGCTTATACTTGTAATGTTAAGAGCACTACACCTGACACAATGAATTGAGGTACACTGAAAAAAAAATCACTGTGTGCCAAAAGGCATCGTTGTACTGGAAGGTTGGAAATTACTGCCCCTTAACTGGATGTTGAACCACATAAGTGAAAGTGAAGCAGAAATGCCAAGTGAAATTGGCTCTTCCATTCCAGGACAAGGACAGGGGCTTAACCTATGCAAAGGCAGCTGAGTTTGTAGTGAAACCATTATGTAATGCTCACATGAACTGATCGTGCAGCTCTGCCAGATAATTGCCTCACAGACTGCCTCAAAATCTTTTTAGGATTTAGGCTCCTTTAGGAGCCAACTCACCCCCCTCTGGTCACCCAACCGTGTCCCCAGGCAGGGACTTGAGGTACACTGGGGACTGGGCTGTCTTAGCCCCACTTCAGCATGCTGAGGACTGCACAGCTTTGGGATGTGCTTGCCTATGTGAATGAGCAGCTATTCCCATTTTGAGACAGCTAAAGTGAATGTAGCAGTGATTTTGCTGTAGGAAATCATTCCTTCTTCTGGAGACCAGTCCAGCCAGATGAGAGATGGCCTTGTAGACAAGATACGCTTGGATAAGTCAGGATTCAATTTCTAGCTGTGCTACAGATTTCCTATCTGGAGCTTAGCTAAGTTGTTCAGTTAGATCAGGCCTCACATTAATTTCCCGTGTTTGTAGTATGGATAATAGTACTCCTCTTATTCACAGGGGGATTCTGTGGATAAATACATTAAATGCTTATGTGGTTCTCAGATGTTATGGTGAAAAACAGAAAAAGGTTATACAAACCATCAAGTCAAG